GCATAATTTGGATTCCTACTGCAAACAGTACACATATTTGTATGATATTTCTGGAAAAAGTTGGGAATTGAAAATTAGAAAAAACCTGTGCAATTTTTTGTAATTTTAAAATATTTTAGAGAACTTTTTTTTTTGCCCAGTGCATGGAGCAGAGGAGCACATATCGTACTTCAAACCTATTTGCCGCTCGCTCGGGATCGTCGCACTAATTGTTTGACTTGGCGGCGCGGCATCAACTTTATGGGCAAAATCCATATAATCCATCAAGAAACATCTCAGACATAGCTTGGTGCTACGTGTGGCGGAATTTCAATGTGAGATCTGTGCAAAATACACAAAAACAGCTATACAGCTATACATGCTCGTGTGTATCGTTTGGATGCATGCAGTGGCCGTGGCAAGTGGCAGCAGTGGGACGATAGAAACAGACAGGGCAGCAGGGGCACGTGTGTCGTGTACCAAAGAGTGTGCTGTCATGGCTGCAAGCGAATTTGCTTCGATGTATTCCTATTGCGCTGCCGCTGCCTGGCTCAAGTATCGGGCAATTAGTGGCACTCTTCTAGTGCGAACTGGGGCACACCCACAGCCAGAAACCAGTGGCAATGTTTGTGCAGCACGCTCTAACAGGCTTAGCAGTGGCAGGGCGAGCTGCTGGGATTATCGTAGCTCAAGAACTTAATTGGAGGACAATGCTGGTGGTCCTCTGGCGCTAAGCTAAACAAATAAATTTCATGCTCAAATTTGCTGAAGAATTTTCGAGGCGGATACGTACATTAATCGTTGCCAAGTGGAGAGTCAGCGTATTTAATAATATTATATGGATTGTTCCAGCAGTGGAATTTGCTTCCTAATCTTTATGCTTAAGGTAATATTCCTCGCCATTAAATATCCCCTGGACTTCTTGAGAATATTCCCCTGTTTAAGCAACCTTCGACTTTCCCCTGAAGTTTCCCAATTGTCACCAAGCGCCTATTAGGTATTTACTGAACAGGTAAGCCACCCCATCCTGCTTGGTGCTGCGGCAGGTGGAATCTCTTAACGCCTCTTAGCCTGTGGCAGAGACAGGTCAGAGCCATAAAGTCAGGGTCAGCGTAATGGTGGCTCTAAGGTAGGCAGATTTTAGAGAACGCTTAAACGAGCCAGGTAAAAATGTCCAATCCAATGTGGGCTCTAGGAATTTCCCAAGCGTCATAAAAACGTTTTGAATGATCGCCGGACAGGCAGTGCAGGCAGTGGAGGGCAGTGTCGCGGATCATCATCAGAGGGCAGGATGGCAGCATGGCAGCATCAGCATCAGCGTCGGCGCCTACCTAAACCTCGGCAAAGCCAAAGCCTGGGCCCAGAGTACCCAAACAAATCAGAGCAGATCCCGCTCAGTGCAGCTCAGAGACCTCGCCGAGAGTTATCACATTTGGTATGTAACTACATTTATCACAACCTAATATGACAACTCGAATAACTTTTGCCTGGCAGAATCCGCTCAGCAGAGCAGAGCAGGGAGCAGGGAGCAGGGAGACTGTTGCACTGGCACTGCGCCTCGTCCGCGTTCGCGTCCTCGTCTGGGCAGCAGCTTGTCACATTTGGCCCTCCGCTAATTGGAACATATTTTGTGGAGTGGAGCCCGTTCTCTGTGGATGATGTGTGTCTCTTGTAGATGCGATTTATGCATCCTATCCTATCCCTTCTCCAGCAGCAAACCAACCAACCAAAAAAAAATGAAGATATCAACTCAAAATATGCTGCGAATGGCCAAATGGCCCCTCGAATAGTTTTGCGGCTAACAGCATCGATTACTGTGTATTCGTTGCACGGCTGGGTTTTGGGCACGGCAGGGAATGGGAATGGGGATGGGTATGGGGGTGTGGTGTGCCTCCCATGCCACCCGAGGGTCTTGTGCATCAATAATTCATAACGCTAATTAATAACGCCCCCAATCCGAGAGAGTGCGTTGCGTGCGCCAAGATGAAAGCACAAAATGCCGACCCAATACACACAAATAACAGGATAATAAACCCCAGACCAGACTCCACAGAGTTCTCTTGGGTGCCGTACCGCTCCTTTCCCCTTCCCCCACCCTCTTTAGTGCGCCTCTTGTGCCTTATTGAAATTCAAATAAATCGAGAACGAGCGGAACGTTCCTGTTTTGATTGCCTTGTTCTTTATAAGGCTGGCTATGGGCATGGATCGCCTTTAGTTGGGTTTTTTGTTTTTTGTTTTGTTTTCGGTGTGGGGCTATCGAGGGCTTTGTATCACGCCTTAGGTGTAAAAATAAATGTTTCAAGTAACAACTTCTTAAAGAGGTAAATTATGAGCTGAACGGAGCGGAGCTAAGCTACAGCCATGGCTCCACACCTCTTCTCTCACCCGCGCAAAACGCCATCAATCTGAGAAATGAGACAGAGCAGAGCCAGCACCTCGCACCACACATGGCCTGTGCCCTCAACAAACCCCAGTCTTGGCCAGTTCCTTAGCCTATAATTTGGCTGAAATACTCACAATTTCGGGGGCCCCTGATTGATGCGACGCGTTGGCGGCGGCGCGTTTCGTCTGCAGCGCCGCACAATGTTGCACCAACCAAGTGGCGCGCCAAGAAATCTATTAAACATGATCTTTAATTCATTTTTGGGAACCAAGAACCAACAAACCAAAACTGAAAACGAAAGCAGCTGCCCCCGCGGATGACAAAATTCAGGAAAAAAGAATTCCGACTGCTCATTTGTCTAGGCTCTGGCGTTCGGGAAAAAGGTGAAAGTTCTTCCGGCGCTACTCTCAAATGTATATCAAGTATATGTATGTATAATCCTTGCCTACTATTGTGGCCCCATTCTCAGGGCAGCGCAGGGGACAATCGCATTGAGTTGTCAAGTGTCAGCGTTGACAGAGATCCCGATTCACAACCAGAGCGATCCTCACTCCTCGAGTGAGCCCTCTATTCAGCTCCTTGGAGCAACCGAGGCCAAGGACAATGCAAACGAGGATCCTGCATTGTTCTGGGTGCCCTTTAATGTGTCAAAATATAGTTTGAGCCGCATTCTCTTTTTGTAATGCAAAGTGATTTATTGTCTGGCCTAAGGTTTTTGTTCTCAGCGATCTGACATCTTGGTGCGTGGGAGCGAGCAGCCAAGGATTGGGATTTGGATGGTTTTCTCAAAGGGCTCGAGAAAGGCTTTTTTCGTTTCTATAGTTTTCCCCTCCGAAATGGAAAGTGGTGCACTCTCCGTGGCAGAACTACATTATAAAGCCATCAATTTGTAGCACAAACACACACACGAAAAAAGGGACAAGTCACATGGGGCACATGGTGCAGAGAAATTCCAAAAGGAAGGGCTTACAGCCGGCAAGGGATTTTGGTTTCGTATTATTAAAAATTCAAAATATATAGAAAATGTGGAAGAGCTTAGATTTAAGTTCGATATTTATACAAATCAAACCAATTTCCATATTGGAATACCCAAACGCAAAGTTATTAAAACAATTATAAATATTGATTATATCTTTGCAGCTAAAAAAGGTTTTGGTAATTAGGAGAATTTTATTAGGAGAATAATACCAGTTTTTATTTATTTATTATTACATAATATTATATTATATTATATTATTATATTATATTATTATATATTATTATTTATTATTTCTAATGAAGATTCTGCAGAATTTATTTTCAGTGGCTCTCTTATATATCTGGTATATTTTATAGTGCTACAAGCCTTTCCTTATATTTTTCTGTTCCTCCAGCTTAAGTAATTTCTGCATAATTTAAAAGTTGTATATGATTTAAGTAATTTATAATTTTTAATTTAATTTTTAAAATTTATAATTTCAAAACGCATAGCAACAGAAATTCTAAAACTAATAATAATAATAATAACTGAGTGTTGATGTGCTTATATCCGTATTTAAATTCCTGAAATTCTCCTTCGCTTCAGAAATCTTTTTGCTGAAATCGGATAGCATTTTCTTGGCATTGGCTCTGTGGCTCTGTATCTAGTTTGGTTCTGTTTGTCGTTTTCCCGGGAACTGCCGTGCTCGACCTTGACCACATTGCTCTGTTTTCGGAATGATGACTATGCCCCGCCCATTTCCGTTTCGTTTAGTTTCGGATTCGCCTCTCGATTTGAATTCAATTGAATTAGCATAGCGAAACTGTTTGCCCTGCGCAAACAGCGATAAGAAGTTGGCCGACTCTCCTGATAGCGTTTCGCCCGCCCTTTTTCTCCCTTAGCACGTGCCACACAAGTATCACAAGTTCTCGTATCGTATCGCAGCGGAGAGAACCACTGCCGATCCTACCTGCGCTTTTCGCCAGGGGCAATTTGAATTTCTCTTGCCTCCTAGGCTTTTCCCCGTAGTCCCTGTTGGGACTACCTGATCATCGGCTGAAGCGCGCGTGTGGATGTGTCGGTTGATTAGGGGCCAAGTCAAATAGAGAAAATGGACCTGACCAAAGGGTTGTGCTCTCTGATCCCGTGCGAGTACTAATCCCCCCCCCGAGTCGAGTCGTGGGCCTCTGAGCCCGTATTTGGGATTAGTATTAACGGTTTATGGTCGGCGGAGATGTGGCATAAAAATTATGCACAGCAATCCGCATTAGTGGCCATAAACACGGGGCCCGCAGCACCATCCTGCCTACCACCTGCCTGCAGTACCAGCAGCAGCAGCAGCAGCAGTACACTCCGCCACACTCTCTGCCAATCACTCCGATATGTATGCTCGGTTTTGGCATAATGCCACATCATCTTGGCTGCAATTAATGTGCAAGTGCTACCCGCATGACTGGCTGGCCCCAAGACCTTCATTATAATGCCCCACAGATCGGTGTTGGATCGTTTCCCCCCAGAAGCAGACCTGATTCATTCTTTATGCTTGTTTATTCCTTCTTTATTACTTCGTTAACAATAATTAACATTTAATTTCGGTTTTTTAACCAACAAAAAAAAAAGAACATTTTTTATATATTTATAGTTTGTATTTAGTATATATATATTTTTTTGTGTTATATATAGGAGTTTTCATTTTCATACTGGTGTGTCGTGGTTTCTGGTTTTTCTTAAGCTAACAAAAAAAATTATCATCTTAATCTAGGCGCAAAAAAAAAAAAAGAAAAAATGTTGTGTGTAATATTTCTAAATGGAACACTATAAGAACTGAGTCTATTTACAATTTGAGGCACTTGGTTCAACTCAATCATTGACTAGATGAGAACAGGATGCGGGAGGGGAAATTTGAAGCAGATCACTGCTCCTGCCACATGGAGATGTAGTCGAGGATCTCCTCGTCGTCGGGTGTGCAGTCCTCCTCGTCCAGCTGGAAGTGCTCGTATGGCTCAAACTTGAGCTGCAGCTGGGCAGCATGAGCCTCCGGCTCCAGTTCCATGTCCAGCTCCATATGTGGGGCAGATAGCTGCTGTGGCGCCGCCTCATACGTGCCCGAGTCGAAGGACATGCTTGAGTTGAACGAGGAGGTGGGCGAGTGGCAGGCCGTCGTCTGCCCGGTAATGGTGGCACCACCTGCCACGGCTCCCACGCCCACTGCCACTCCGGCCAGGTTGCTGTTCAGCGAGATGGGGGTCAGTGGCTGCTGATGGGGGAACTGCTGGCGCTGTAGCTGCTGCTGTTGCTGCAGCGCAGTTGTTGTCGTAGTTGTGGCAGCTGCCGCTGCTGCTGCTGCTGCTGTTGCCGCTGCCAGTGAGCTGCTGTAGTAGAGGTGGTGGCTGCCGTGGCTGCTGCTCCCGGAGCTGCTGGAGCTGTTGCTGCAGGTCTCCTCGTCCAGGCAGAGCTGCAGCTGGCTGACAACGGCACTGGCGGCGCTGGAGCTGGCGGGCGCACCACCATTCAGGTCATCGACGAGATCCTGCAGCCGGCGGATATACTCCACGGCGATGCGCAGCGTGTCCACCTTGGAGATCTTCTTGTGCGGCCCCCGGCCACCTCCCTTGGTGAGGTCGGCGATGATCGACTGGGGGATGTGCTGGCGCAATCGGGCGAAGCTGTTGTTCACCTGCTTAACGCGGTTGCGCTCTCGGGCGTTGCGCCGCTGCACGGACTGCGACTGGTCCACGTTGTACGGTGCGCCAGCTCCCATCACCGACGACGAGGAGGACGACGACGATGATGAGGATGAGGACGAGGCAGAAGATCGCTCCAGAGCCATGCCACGCGGCGTATACTTGCGCGTCTTGATGGGCATGGAGCTGCCGCCGCTTTGGATCATCTCCTGGCCCGGATTGGGTGCCGGCATAATGTGCTGGTAGCGGAACACCTTGGCGGCGCCGCTGATCGTTGTGGGGAACATCTCGGGGCACTGGCACCGGCATCGGAATCTGGGACTGCATCTTGTTGCTGGAATACACCACACTTGACATCTCTGTCCTGTCCTGTCCGCTCGGTGCTACTCCTTCTGTTTGCCTACTCTTTTTTGCACACACACGCACGTGAGAAGCGAACTGCTGGATCGCTGAACAACAAATAAAAAAATATATGTACTGCTGCACTGTGCACTTTAGTTTGGGTTTCTTCTGTTTATGTTTCGGTTTCTGTGTCTGTGTCTGTTTTCCTGAAGTGGAACTTGATCGTTTGACATGAGTGACAAGAATGAGTCCCTTCGTCCTAAACCCTCACTTTATGTACCTTTCCACACGGAAGCGGGCTCAAGAGCGAGCGCGTGCTCTCGCAACGCTCTCTCTCTCTCTCTATCTGTTCGGAGCGCTTACCTGTTCGGTCCGCAGGTAGAGCAGAGCAGTGATCGGTGAGCGGCAGCTCAGCAGCAGAACACTTTCCAACTTCCACACTATGCATATAAGATTGGGCTTTGCCGAGGTAGAGCGCTCGCTCGGCTGACTTCGGCTGGGCTCGGGCTTGGGCTTGGGCCTGGGCAGTGCGTAAGCTACAGGTAGTGAGCGCGCGCGCTCTCTCTCTCTCTCTGTCTCTGCGCACGATCTGCGATAAGGCGACGCTCAATGTTACAAAAACTGTTCCCACTCAGGCAATTGAGATTGGGTTTGAGATTTCACTCAGGGCTGCCTTCTTGCACTCCTGGCCTGGCGCTCTTCCACTCAGGGCTGCAGGGCGGCAGGGCGGCCGTTTTCACTCGAGGGCTGCCTGTTGAGCACAGACCAGCCTGAAGAGCCACTCAGAGCCACTGGCGAGCCAGCCCCCAATTGAGTGCTGTCCCCCAGGAGCATTTTGGCATGCCAGCAATTTGATTTCCGTGTTAATTAACTTAGCAAAAGTCGCGATCCGGCCAGCACACATTTCATGTGCAGCTCACGCACGCCCCTATTCATTAGCGCCGTCAGTTCCACCGATGACTCCAGTCCCAGCCACAGCCCCCTCCTCTGTCGAAGAAGTCCACTCACTAAACCAGAACGATGTGGCATGCGCGTGTCGCCTATGGGCTGCAGCCTTATTAGCTATGCAGAGTCAGGCCTCGGAAGGTGTTCGAACAATTTCACATATTCCTCTAATTAAATGATCAAAAGGATCACAAGTTTTTCACCCCGAACACAGCCCGACAGACAGGCCAGGCCAGGCCAGGCCACGACAATTGTCTGCTCTCCAAGGTTCCAGGATCATTATGTGGATGGATGGATCGTGATGATCGTGTGGTTCTCTCTGTTTGCTAAAAAATTGCCACTTCCGTTTGGTCATTTTGGACAAAAGTCAAAGCCAGCTTCCTCATTTACTCTTTCACTCTGTTCCACTCTTACTTTCTCGCTCTTTCTCTGGCTTGCGATCATCAATCGATCGAAGCAATCAGCGAATCCCGCACAGATCCCCAGAGACCAGGTGTAAGTCGAGATACGTCTATGTATATTGTTTCCACTCTTCAACTCGTTCTTCCCATTGTTGGCGGCACTGAATTTTCCCTCATCATCATCGGCGGCTGTGGCTGCATTGCTGCATTTCTTCATTTCCATTTGCAAAAATCGAAAAATCGAAAAACCGAAACCAAAAACCAAATACCCGAAACCTTTTCAAGCATGACCAGGCGACGGCGCTTCTCTGTGTACTTTATGTGTGGCTGCATCCTTTGACAATTTCCATTAACATTTTTGCATGCTGCATTTTGTTTAGAATTTCATGCAGTTTTTCCCTTCCATTTTCCCCATTTCTCCAGTTTTTTTTTTTTTGCATTGTAATGCTGGTGATGCCGGGCTTGGAAGGATCTCCAGTCAACGGCTTTGGGTTCCATTATTTTGGCATCATTAACACGTGCATTGTTCGAGTGTCGCATATTTTGTGGCATTCGTGGCATCGTTCCGCTCCCTTTCTATTCAAATTTTTGGCACAGCCAAATACGCATTATTTTCTTTGATTCTGGTCTGCCGACAGGGGGTAGTAGGGGTAAAAATGCTGCTGAAATGCCCCGTATAGGGTTGAAGTCCTGCGGCGGCCTTTGTGCCACTGGATGAGATCTATTGTGTCTGTGGATACGCATCTGAAGTGGAATGCATTTGCGCAATGATTGATAGCTATCGGCTAGCAGATATACCGCAGGAGATCTGGCCTCTGCTTTTGTGTTTGCGGTACTTCTGTTCAGCCAGATCGATAGGTTCGATAGGTTCGAGGAGTAACTTCTTGGCGTGATCCATTGATCGGTCGAAAAGTCAATGCCCAGTCAAATCTAAGCTCCCATATGCAAATCCATGTGAGCGAGCCTCGTGCCCGAAATGCTGATCATTATCCGCGATCCGTATCGCCTCTAGCCCTATGCCTATGCCCAGCCCTACCTGGCTACCGGACTCATTTCGGCATGTGTAATGTAATCCATTGCCTGTTCTAAGCAGTCCGCTACTTCGTTGCGGGGTGAGCTATAAAGATCCGTTGGCAGATGCAGATGGGAGCGACTTTTGATTTCGATGCTGACGATCACCTGAGCGATCGCTCTCTTGCCTGGGAGCCTATGAGAATGCCTTGGCTGTTATTTGCAACTAAATCTAACCCGAAGAAGTTCCTCTTTCGTATTGGAGTACATTTGTAGTAAAAGCTAAAGATCGAAGCTGTGATCGAAGCCGGAACCAAGCCAAGTCCTGCCATTGTAAGCGCTGAGCTGCTGCAATTTATGCCATTCAATTTTGTTGCTTCGGCAACCAGTAAACAACTTCCCCACCCCGAGCAGCTCGCCTTGCCCTTCCCCATTTGTTTATATCCTTTCGCGGGGTGTGCAACGCTTGGAAGATTTAAATGCATAATTACTTTGATATGAAGCATAGTTCCGGGCCCCGTGAAACGGGAAACGGGAAAGTGGCAACAGGAGCCTGGACTTGTGGCTGTGGCTGGGGCAGGGCGCGTGCGTTAATTGCGTGCAAGCAGGACAGACATAAAGGGCATATCCTGGCCAAGGGGCAGTCCAGGTCCACAGGTCCAGGAGCGGGATACAACGTTGGAGGGAGCGGCGTGCGCCTGCGTTGTTTTCCATCGAAACTGGAAATGCAAACAAGTCAAGAAATAAGAAGGCTATTCGGTTGGCACCGAATCTTTTGATACTCTCATCGATGCTTGAAGAAAGAAGCAACTATAACGAACTTCAGGGTCTGATCATCGTTGCATATGGGGATTACCCACAGTGAGGGCATCAAACTGAATGTTGAATGTTAATTGAAACGAGTTGCCGTTGCCTGGGCAGCAGCCCTGCAGGACCTGCCGGAGATCCAATACAGTGAGAGAGAGAAAGAGAGGGTGAGAGAGCACCTTCCCTCCACGTGCCTCCGGTTGTCGTTGTCCCGGGCAACGAAGCGTAGTTTAGTTGTTGCTTCGCTTCCTACTTCCCCTCGCTCATTTTCGTAGTTAATATTTTAATTAAATGCAGGAGCAGGCGCAGGAGCAGGAGCAGGAGTGGGTCCAGGACTCGCTTGCCTGCTCTCCAAATGGATTGGGCCCCGGCTCTTTGGCTATATGGCATGGCGACGCGTGGCAGGTGTATTTACGCGACCGAATCGGCATCGAGTGATGGAGGGACCTGGCCACGGGCACGGGCAAGGGCTCGGGCTTAGACAGAGTCTACCTTTCTCTGCTGCACTGCTGCAGCTGAAAAATGAAACACAAACACAAATGAAACACACTGAGACCACACCACACAATCGTTTGCTAGGGGTTGCTGCTGCTGCTGCTGGTGATGCATTTGTGGCATCTACCCCAGAAAATAGGGGAGCCCAAAAGTCGGAAAGTCATTCAGAGGCAGCCCAAGATGCCCCGATGCCTGATACGAAGACGGCGACGGCGCATTGAACTTTGCACAGACCAAAAGTCAGATCAGCGTCAGGACAAATCAAACGAGGGGGCATTTCTGATTCTCTGTGTGTTTCGGTTCTTTTTGGTGGGGAGAGATTTCGGTTTTCTGGTGGGTTTCATGCACTATGTGGAAGCATTTGTTGCGTTCTCTGACTTTGCAGTAATTCATTTAAGATTCTCATATTTAAATATGTAAAATTATTCTCTGCTGTAATTTTCTAGACGCATCTACGCTCCTTAAAATTGCCCTGAGATTGATGCCCAGCTATTTATTTTTATTTCCAATTGAAGGGTATATATCAGGTTCGTATTTTTGCATCTCTGTGATGGCTGGTGGAGGAGTTCGGTCTCCTGGCGGCGGCGGCGGGGTTCACCGTACGCGTAGTCGCGGGCTAAAAGTCGAGAGTCGAGAGCCGAGAGTCGAGCCAGATAGACGGTCGGTCGTTGGACGGGGGGGGAAAGGTGGACCCGCTGATGACTATCATTACCCGCAGTGGAGTGGAGTGTGTTTTGTACCAATACATTCGTTGCTGTATTTCATTTCTTGTCTTTCCTTTCTTTCTGCGGTCGAACCTGACGATGATGACGACGACGACGACGATGAGTTCAGTTCGGCAGAGACTGCCAAATGGCAGTAGCACGCACCATTAGATGCGGTCAACATGAAAACATCTGCTCTTCTGTGTATATTCCTTTGGGGTCAACACACACACACACACACACACGCACACAAATCAGCGAGCGATAGAGACGCAGCCAGAAAAGATGAGAGAGAGAGAGAGAGAGAAAGACTGCCAGAAAAAGTGAGTGGCTGGGAGGCGGAGAGGGAGATCTGTTTGGCGTGCGCCATTTTCGAAATGAAAAGTGTTTTGGAGCGTGGAAACTTTGAAAACAAAGTTGAATCTACAAGTGGGCCCCAGCGCTAGGCCCTGTCAAGAGATCAGCGAGGCACGATACACTGAGGGAAAGTGGGGCATTTAAAATGGATTTTCGGGAACATGCAAGTATGCGCCACTTATGGGGAAAGAATAAACTTTTAATATTCCATAAATATTTCAGAATGCAAGTAAGCAATGATGGGAGAG